ACTTCTAATACTATAATTATTTATTTTGATGTTAACGTTCTCATTTCGAACGAAATCCCCTCTAATTCTCTCAAAAATCTCCCTCGATTCGAGGGAGAGAATGATAATATTGTATAATTAAGAAAGTTAACAGAGTAATACACTACAGAAAATAATTATAAGTACCTTTACCAAATTCAAAAAGTAAAATTATTAACTATTTGCAATATACGAGTATAAAGATGATAAACAAGCATACATACAAAATTTAACATTACAGCGACATAACGATAAAGTAATTTCTAGAGATAGTGCTGAAATTGTCTTGCTCGAAATATTAACTAACGTCGCATTTGCCTCTATTAATATTAATGCACGTGCTAATGTATCGAAGTGACTGTCCACAAGTTGAATATACTGTATAGTGTACACAGTACACATCTAAAATGTGCTTAGTCAGCACATGGTAACGTCTTCGGCGCCTTCACTAATTGCTACCATATCTTGACCCAGAAGCTCGTCCCAAATAAACATTGACGCATCGGTAAATCTCCATAAGGTGTAATGCTGAGACATAATGTTTACGGGATTACTTAAAGGCTCCGTTACATATTAGATATTAGTTAGATAAACAGATTGTAGGGTTAAACTTTGTGTTTTACGGTCAGTGGTAACATGGGTAAATTACGTCATAAATTATATTGGTACAGCTTATCTTTAATTAAAGTTTAAGGTCAAGATGATGGTACCTTTGATGAGATGTTTGACTGGATTTAAAGAAGTCTACCACCAGAGGGATCAGACCAGAGGGAGACTTTGTACAAAAGTCGATTGCTTGGCTACCTCTGTCCCATTCGTGTTTCAACCGTGAAGCAGTTGTGTTTGCATGGCTGTGTTTCGGTTTCAAGGGTGGGATATGGCGTGAATTTTCTGGGTACAGAGGAATAACACCTGAGTCCTCAGGAATGGCAACGCATGGGGAGTATCATGGGCGAAACAGTATACTCTGTTATGTCCATGGTACTGCTTATGTTTATAGGCGACGGTTACCACTTTCCATCAGGTGGGCCGTCAGCTTGTTTGCCATTCTAAGTTGTATAAAAAAAAGTCTTTTTTCTTATAGTGGCTTTTTGCAGTAAGTAAAAGAGATCTAATTTGGGAAAGTATTGCATTACATTTTCAAATAATTGCTATTTATTTCAAATTAGTTTTCAATTAAAGAGCATCTACACTGGAAGGTCTTGTCCCGTGTGAACCCGGCATAGAATAGGCCACCCCTTCCTTTCCTGTTGGTGTCTAAAAGGCGACGATGGGCAGCAGCGTCCCTCTTAGAACATCTCCAAAGCCTATCTACGGTTGTCAATCCGCCTGCCAAGCGTGACAACTACTGGCAAAACTCCCCAAGGGGAGGATTATGTTCTGCAGTGGACAGTTAAAGGCTGATATGATGCTGATGATGATGATGATGACATAGGGATGTATTGAAATTGAAATCATTTATTGGAAATCATTTATTTGCTGGAATAAGGTACATTTTTAGGTGTTACTATACAAGAAAAATAGTCCAATCTTATTCTGCCACACTGTAGGCGTGCAAATATAAAAACTTATTAAACAAAACATTAAAATAATTTTATTATAATAACATAAACATTTGCAATAATATTTTGTCACTTTCTGTATCTATTCATGTCAATTCATTGTAATATTAAAAATTAATCATTAAAAATATACACAACACAAAGTGAACACTTATCTAATCATTTATAAATATTTTATCATTTAAAAACTCATTTACTGAGTAATAACATTTATCCATAAATAGCCTGAAGAGCTTTTTTTTGTAATAGGATAAATTATTACAATTTCTGATACTTTCAGGCAAATGATTATATATCCGTATTGCCATGCAGTAAGCGTTAGTATTCAATACATTTAGTCGTACATTTAGTAGTACATATAATTTATTTTTATGTCTGTTACTGCGGCTTATAATATCTGTTTGTTTTTTAAATAATTGTGAGTGTTTCTTAACAAAAATACACATTTCTAACAGGTAAAGAGAAGGTATTTTATTCATCCTAAATAATGGTTTACAACTAACTCGGAAATGTGTATTAGACAGTGCCCTAATACATTTTTTTTGTGCCTTAAATACAATATCAGTGTCAACCGAATTACCCCACAGTATTATACCGTATCTTAAAAGAGATGATACATAACCATGGTATGCTAATAATGCTAATTCCTTACCAGCAGTTTTCCACAAACGATTTAATACGAACACAAATTTATTAAGTTTAGTGTTTAATTTTTCAATATGAGGTTTCCAGTTACAATATCGATCTATTGTTATACCAAGAAATTCGGTATTGTCAACAGTATTTATATAGTCATTGTTTACAGAAGCTCTAATGTCAATTGAATTACTATTATATGTCAAAAATTCTATTAATTTAGTTTTGGATAAGTTCACCTTTAAATTATTCTCATCTAGCCATTTAGTATTAGGATTTTAAATATTGTCTTAAACTTATTTCTTATATAAAAATTGGCGTCCTATACAAGAATTGTAAGCTTGTAAGAATTATACGATATTCAAGTTACTTTGTTTTATGCTACCTATATTGGCTGACGGTCCCCCTGGTGGGAAGCAGTTTTCTCAATTGGATGAAAATGAAATAGTAACCTCGCCCGCACTATCTGTATATGCTGGCGAGGTGCCCGTGAGGGATGATAGCAATATGAAATGTATATATATATATATATTCTTTATTGCACTTGTAAATTACAATGTTAATGCATTTATAAATATTGTGAGCAAGGGTGGACTTATCTCTTATATATTTATTATTCTGGTTGAATTCTTCACGATGGGCCAACTGATCTGCTTTCATCTTCACCTATCACCTCACTAGTGCCCCACCAGCGTATACCGGTAGCGCAGGCAGGGTTGCCATTTCATCTTCACCCATTAAAAAAAAAACCTATTCATGTGATAATTACGAGAGGGCTTTGAATGAAATTTGATATATTCTAAGATCATAGAATACTGTATGTAATGATTTACGCAAGCAAAACCGCCGGATCAAACCAGTAAGATACAATTATTAATCTCGATATCTCTATGCTGTATAATATAGACCGTAGCATACAAGTCCTCTATTGTAATACCAGTGCGTGCTCCAAATGAAAGGAATAACTTCCGACTCGTTATAATTACAAGACATTATACGTGTTGTCGCATTAATATGCGATGATGTGACACACCTATTTGCCCCTCACGTTCTCACAGAACGGTACTAGGTAAGGTACACGATCTTAGACAAAAATATTGGTCCTTTGAATCGATTTAGATCGGGAATTTTCAGATCGATTCATCTGAATATCGAAAGTGAAAAAATCTATGTAAAATATTGGTCCTTTGAATCGATTTAGATCGGGAATTTTCAGATCGATTCATCTGAATATCGAAAGTAAAAAAATCTATGTAAAATATTGGTCCTTTGAATCGAATTAGATCGGGAATTTTCAGATCGATTAATCTGAATATTGAAATTGAAAAAATCGATTTAATAAAATTCGATCTTATATTATTTCATGTGTACACTGAAATTGAAAATAAGAAAATTACAAATGGAACAATTTCCTAAATGAATTTTATTCCCCAAAAAACCTATTTCAGTTGTGGCAAAAATCAGTTGATTTGATTTAAAAACTAAACCACAGAGTTGGTTTTGATAAAATTTCTATAGGACCAATTTGTGGGTGTATCTTTTCAGAAAAAAAAAATTTAAATCGGTTTACAACTGACGGAGTTATGTAACCGTTACTGTATAGAATAACATACAAAAAATTACAATTGATTTTAGAAACTTCTTGTTCTTGTAATCAGTTGAATAAAGAAATTAAATAAAGAAAACTATACAGTCTGCTTCTTTGCCAAGGTGGCAGTGGTATAAAAAATTACAAATATTTAGAATGAGGTAGATCAATCTAGATCTGTTATTTGAATCGATCTTAAGAGCAATTAATGAAAAAATCGATCCAAAATTCGAACTTCAATTTCGAAAAGATTTATAATACTTTCTTTTATTTATTTTTTTCGCTTTAACTGCTTAACTAATTAATTAATTTGACATATCTATATTATGTACAAAATGACTAGGTTATAGAATTTTAATAAATTTTGCACACCACCATTTTGATGTAACATCTGTCTGGAAGTATACACGAATAAACATCTAATGCAACCATGTTTTATTCAAATAAAGAATCTGAATCTAAACACTATGACATTTGGTAACATACAAATATGATATAAAGAAGGACATAGGCTACTTTTTATCCTGGTTAAACGAATGAAGTCGCGAGTCGAGATTGCTTTATTTAAATCGAGTCGAGATCGAAAAGCCTGAACTTAATCATAAAAAATTCATCAACCGCAAACTGCAGATACCATAGACCGTTATCGTGAACGGTCGTATGTCACATTCGTTCTAATTTATTATTCAAGAAGATTTCAAACCCCGATGATGGCAAGTTATTTTTATTTCAGGACACTTAAGAGGTCTTTCACATTCGTCTTCATAAAGCAACGTAACCACGGAATTTTTAGTGTTCCGGTTCTAAACAATTAAGAGTTTGGTTCCTCAATTGTATAAATGAATTTCTTGCCTTAAATACAGCAATTTTAAATTTTTACTGTCGTAATTTTTTTTATACAAAAAGGTGGTAAGCAAGCATATACCCCGTCTTATAGTAAAGGGTCATCGTAGCCTATAGACGCCTGCAACACTAGGGTTGTCACCTATGTATGTTGAAATATAATATATGTGTTTGTGTGTGTGTGTGTATATATATATATATATATATATATATATATATATATATATATATATATATATATATATAAGTACCTCCATATAAGACTAATATAAATTGTATTACCTATCTAGTCTACCTACCTACCTACCTACCTACCTAGTCTCCCACTTAATTCGATTATGTACTTGTTTCAGATGAGAACTGTCTACATACAACATCACTCAATGGACTCTTAACTGAGGTACGTGAAATTAAGAAATCACTCACGAAACCTATAAAAAGCACTAGAAATTCGATAATCCTGATTAGATGATCCGTTTCATTTCGACATAATTGAAAGCCCTACCTTAGATAATTCTGGCTTTTAGCCTGGAGAATCTATATTTAGCATCGGTCTAGCTCATCGTTTCGGTTATCTCAATTATATAATAATGGTCGTTGTCCATGGCATTGCATGCTTGCTGTCGTGTTTTCCCTTAAAGTTGAAATTTTCCGCTATTAAAGTACTTTCTTTTTTTAAAACAACTGAGGTGGCAAACAAGCATACGGCCTCCCTGATGGTGAGCGGTTCCCGTAGCCTATGCATGCTGGCAATACCAAGGGTAAAACGCGCGTGTTGCCAACCATGAAAAAACCTCCATGCTGTAGTCTCTTGTAAAAACCTCGGCTGGGGCTCATTACATAACCTAAGCGTTCGTGGGAGAAAACATCTCTGAAACCGGATGATTTCTTAGCAGATACTTAGGTTCTAGAACAAATCTATGTTTTAAATTTTATTTTTTCTCTCTCTCTAGACTTAGTAGTATTTGGTTGTGCGTTTATAGTCAAACGATTTTATAAGTTTATCTTACTCGATTATGAATTCAGTTATCCTTATTAATACTATAAATGTGATTTTGATTATTTGTTTGTTGCCTCTTTAAGTCTTTTTTACTGTAACTTGTTTTTTCCAACTGTAATACATTTTTCAATTACCTTCAAATAAAGTTAAGGTTCGCATTTCTATTGCATTTTTTTATGTCTCTTACCTCAAAAGTACGTTATTTATAAACTGATTTGGTTTTTCTCTGAAAGGATATATTTTTAATTATTCACTTGTCATTGTATATTTTTATTTATGGTTAGTTTAAGAGTTAAATAAATAAATATTTTTTTTATTTATTATTTAGTCGCATAGAAATTTTATCGAAATCGGGTTAATAAACTACTAATTATATTACTTTTTATACCAAAATTGATTCTGCCACGACAGAAGTCGGTACACATCCACTTCTGTCGCATTTTTTTCTTTATCCTTGATCATTCAAGTTCCATTTTGAAAACTTGTAACAGAAACCTTGTCTATTTTTCTCCATTAAAGTTTAGTAAACTTTGTAAAAGACATATCTAGCGCTCTTTCGGTCCAGTCTCGTCTAGAGTGAATTAGTTCGTAGTTTGTTAGTGAAGAAATCACTACGAAACTAACCAGTTACGAAAATCTACAGCAGTTTTTATACTTTTCTTCATTGAGAGTTTTTCTAGAGACTACAGTATTCTTTAGGGGAGCGTATTAAAGTTCCTTCAGGGTCGGCAACGCGCACGTGACACCCCTAGTGTTGCAAGCTTCTATAGGCTACGGTAACCACTTACCATCAGGTGGGCCGTATGCTTGTTTGCCACCTCAGTGGTATAAAAAAAAACAACAATTTTAGAAATTCCAAATATTTCTTTATATTACAAAGGTGACAAACAAGCATACAGGTCGTCTGATAGTAAACGGTCACTGTAGCCTATGGACGCCTTCAACACTAGGGGTGTCACGTGCGCGTTGCCGACAGTGAAGGAACCTTTTATATTTCCTTTTTAAATAACCCCATACTGTACTCTTTAAGGAAAACCTTGAAAAATTGAAAATAGAAAATATCGTAATTTTGATGTTTAATGTAATTACATAGCTTCTCTTTTATCAGCTTTTAAGAAATTAATTCGAAGATATTTATTTTATTAAATTAAAAAATACTTCAAAAGATAAATTACGCTGCCCGAATAAGAAATTTGAATGTAAGAGTAATATTATTTTCAAAACGAGACCAAATTAAGACGAACTTCTAAATAAGTCTTCAAAAGGAGGTAATTTTAGATTGCAGCAAGTAAATCATTCGGCGTAATTAGTTGTAAGGAGTCGTGTGATAGATGTTTCTTGCGGTTTAAGTGACAAGATGAGAGCGAGACTTAATTTTAATTACGAATTTAGCACTTTTTGTTGCTTCGATACGATATTTTTATTTTTTGTAATATAGGGTCCAACTAGCATGTGACTCCTAATACAAAAGCAATTTGTACCCGAATATTAAAAAATATGTTATAGGATATGAGAGATAGCGTCCTAAGTCACTTTCTGGTTTCCATAATCGGTCATAAATATATATTTATCAGTGTATCAAATAAATGTATTTATGTGTCAAATATTATTATTATTTTTTGCCGTTGCCACCTATTAAAGTGCTATCTCGAGCACTTTTGGGGAGTATGATGGATTTCTCAGTTTTTACGGTGAATATTAAATAAGTAATTGTTCTTATACCACTTTAAAGGGTGAGATATAGCGTGAATTTACTGGGTACAGAGGAATAACACCTGAGTCCTCAGGAATGGCAACGCATGGGGGATATCATTGGCGAAACAGTATACTCTGTTATATCCATGGTACTGCTCATGTCTATAGACGCCGCTTACTACTTTCCAACAGGTGGGCCGTTAGCTTGTTTGCCATTCTAAGTTGTATAAAAAGAAATCCGTTTATTTTTAAAGTAAAATTTACAATTAAGAAACAAAAGATCATTGACAAGCAAAATATAAATTAAAAAGAAACAAAAGAAGGTCGCACTCTACAAAGTTCATAAAATCATCAGGAACTGAAGAGACGCGTTTTTTTATTTATCCATAAAATACACTTTTTCAATTCAATAAAATTGCATTAAATCGCTAAAATACTTAATAGTTTGTTGGCTATTAAAATGGTTAAGGAAAATGGAACAAACGGAATCGTATTGCAGAATTTAAGAGAAGAGTAGCGTTTTTTATAATGAAAATGCATATTTATCCGCTTAAAGCTTAACACTTGCACTGAATGATAACAGTATATCTTAATTTGGCTTCGTGCACTTATCTCTATTGGTTTCTGTTGATGAATTACTGTTACACAATTGAGATAACAAAAATACTTCAGGGATAATAAATTAAAGTAAAGAATCCTCATTAATATTATAAATGTGAAACTGGGTTTGTTTGTATGTTATTTCTGGATGCCAAACGCAGCTAATTTTCAAGACATTTGACATACACGTGCTGTTTGGGATGGAGGGCATAGGCTACTTTTTATGTTAATTACATATCTCGATCGTGTAAACGGAGATGCGAGTAAAGACTAGTGTGAACGTTATATTATTTTCATGTAAGAACAACCGAATTGATTTATATGGAATTTAGTCGAGAATGCTTGATTACTTTCGGGACCAAGATTTATTATTCATTATCATAATTATAAAAGTGTTAACTATTATAAAAGTGTTATAAAAGTGTGTATCACCTGCTGAACATTGGTCTTTCTCATAAGAAGGGTTTTGCCAATAGTTGTTGCCATTCTCGGCAGGCAGGTTGGCAACGGCAGTTAGGCGTTTGGTGATGTTTTAAGAGGGGCCAGCATTTGTTATTGTCCGTGAATTGGGAAAGTGGTAATTCAAAACTATTTTTGACGGAGCCTTATATTAAAAAATGAACATGTGAGATTACAGGATACACCTTACTCTTGAGACCTATAAGAAAAACTGCGAGTGTCTATTAGATAAATATTATAAAGAATAAAGATTTGATTGTTTGTTTGTAATGGATAAACTCCAAAACTTCTCAACCGATTGTAAAAATTATTTCACCTCTTCATACCTATAGAAAGCTACATTGCAACGTAAGCGCAAAAAATGTGTTTATTTACGACATCACATTAGAAACCTCTAAATTTATCAGAGTTTCTATGCATGTATTATACATATAAACCTTCCTCTTGAGTTACTCTATCTATTAAAAAAATCGCTTCGAAATCAAAATCCGTTGCGTAGTTTTAAAGATTTAAGCATACATAGGGACGGACAGATAGCAATAGCGACTTTGTTTTATACTATGTAGTGATGATGATGATGATGAAGTGATGTTAGTAATATATATATATATATATATATACATACATACATATATGTATATATATATATATATATATATATATATATATATATATATATATATATATATATATATATATATATATATATATATATATTTAAATTGTCCCCTTATCCTGTCAGATATTCCTTATTGCAAAAATACTATTTTAGAATCTAGAACAAACGGAAGCACCGTATAGGTTTTGATCACGCGCCAGTTTTTCTATAGAAATATGTGTATGACGGATCATAACTTTTTATTAAATTTCCTAAAAATATGAATTTTTTTTTGTAAATATTTCATTCGTAGTATATGGCAAGCATATCATGTAATAAACCCGTACGAAAAATACCAACGAATCGAACCTTCCTAGTTTTCAAGTTCTTTTTTAAACTTTTTTTTTTTCATTGATGATAGTGGAATATTAATACCGTCTGTATTATCGATATACTAGTGAAGGGTAATGATGATGAAAACGAAAGCGGATCAGTTGGCTAATCGTTGGTAAGATACGATACGACAACATAACCTTCAAGAAAAGAGTATATTCCTTTTTAAAAGGCCGGCAGCACACCTGCAGCGCCGCTGGTGTTGTGAGTGATCATGGGCGGCGGTAGTCACTTACCATCAGGTGAGCCGCATGCTCGTTTGCCCCCTGCGTTGTAAAAAAAAATTTTAGTTATTTTTTTTTAATTTAACAGGACTTAATCACGATAGTTTTAGGGCTAACTGTGTGAAGGTCGATTTGTCAGGTTATATTGCTCGCAATGATTAGGAACGAGTCATTTTACTGACAATCCTTTTTAATTAGACTTTCTGTATTTTCTTTTATATGTTTTAACTTATTCATCATCTTTCTACCTTTATCCTAATTAATATTTGAGATCGGTGTAATATGTTTTCTCTTCCATTCTTCTCTATTTAGTATGCTAACGTTAAATGTGGTAAAAGGTCGTCTGAAAATCAGAGCTGTATAGGTACATCTCGCTGAAGGTGTGCATGTATACAGCTGAGACGGCTCCTGCAACCAGCAAAATTAATTGA